GGACATAAACTGGACAAATGACCACTTCAGGTATTAATGCATTACTTGCAGCTAAATGCATTTAGTTTGACATTTGTTAATAAATTAATAGTTGATATGCATTATATTTGCTATTATTTGACCATAACCCCAGTGGTTTAATGCATCTGCAGGTCATTTTATTTGGCCGTTTTCGGTTTCGTAACCTTGGTCGCTGATACTGCTTCGTTCTGCGCTATTGTCTAGCTTCCTTGAAACTGCGTTTCCGCAGGTGTACCTATCAGGTTTTTCGGTTAAACATTGTTTGATACGTAGGTGTTCCTTTTCAGCATGTCACGTCGACGAAGTTATCAATTAACTGCACAGTTTCCGTCTCGTAGCACCATTTACCGTGCAGCGAAAAGAATGACATCAGGATTCAGCTACGAAGAGGTGCTTCTGTTGTCAGAAGCTAAACGACAGAAGGGTAAGAGCATCTTTAACATATCTTAAATATGATTGCTTACACAGTTCAGCCACCTGCACACGTTATCAACCGCAGTGAAGATGACAGGGACCCCGATGAATTGGTACATAACTTGAGAAAATTGATCGCAAAATCTCAAGTACCTGCGTCTTTTGTTCGTCCACTGTTGTGCCTTGTGCAGCCGTGGATGCCATTTTTGCCAAAGGATTACCGGAAGCTGATGCGCACCCCACGGACCTCCCGCATTCGCGTTGTTTCACCGGGAACTTACGGTCACGTAGGTCTGCTGAGAGGTTTACAGCGTGCATGCTCTGCTATTTCGCTCGCCGCTGATGACACTGTTGACTATCAGTTGCATATCGACGGGTTTAAACCTTTTAATGCATCCAAGATGCATGTATGGCCAATCTTGTGCCGTGTCATAAAGCCAGTGATCACGAAGCCATTCATCGTTGGTGTTTATGGTGGGACCTCGAAGCCGAATGACGTGGACGATTACTTGTACGGCACAATTAATGAGATAGGTACTTTGCAACGCCAAGGATTATTCAAGCATAAAGCCGTTATCTGTGTTACCCCTGCACGCGCGTATTTGAAAAGAAAAAAGAACATTCGGGTTATTACAGCTGTGACAAATGCACCCAACGTGGTGAGTATATGAGCCGCAAGGTAACGTACCCACTTACTGATAGCACACTAGGGACTAATGCATCCGTTCGAAGGAATGATAGCCAACCGTCGCCTTTTGCTGCTTTGAATGTCGATTTGGTTGAGGACTTCCCAATTGACTATATGCATTCAGTATGTTTGGGTGTTATGCGCAGAATGATAAAAACTGGCTTACTTCGCCCGTGGACAGTGGATTTCGCCTGCGCAGAGAGCGATTGATTTTAGCAAACGAACGGTTGCATGAGTTCAGGCCTTCCTGGACATCGCACTTTCCACGTAAGCTTCGATCACTGGATGAATACTGATCTTGGAAGGCAACTGAGTTGCGTCAGTTTTTGCTATACGCCGGACCAGCTAGTTTAGTTGGGGTATAGCGCGTAGATCGTGCGCTATAAACTCGGTACGCGACTAAACGGCCAACCAAAAGTAGTGGGCAGAAGACACAACAGTAAGCTAGGGAAAAAGTTTATTGGGCGGGAGGAGCGTTAGCTAATGCTAAAAATAGGGCACCCAGAGAGAGCTAACTAGGGAGAATGTCGTTGGCGTCGAGTGCGTTGACAGAGCGTCGTTCGCAGTCGAGTCGCGCGCGCCAAAGGCGGAGATGGCGTTCGTGTTTTCAACAAACGGGAACAACGTTCCAACAGGCAAACCGCCTAGTTCCCTAATACATAAGAAAGCTATAATTTGAATGTATTTTAGAATAGTTTACACAGTCATACGGGGGAATCTCCAGGTCGCTACAGGGGTATTGCCTGACGCTTTCTATCAAAACTTTCGATCTCTCATTTGCTATTTATACCATGTGCCACCCTCACCTTCACACTGCCTTATTTGATTTCCTTGTTCCTTTATTTCATGTATTTTTACATGATTACTTTGATCTTTAAGGTCCCAGTGAGATGACGTGGAACGTACACTCACTGGTTCATCTGCCCTCTGACGTACGAAAAATGGGGACGTTAGGCAGCTTCTCAGCATTTCCCTTCGAGTCTCACTTGTTTTCCATCAAGCGCATGATTCACAATTCCCCGCGTCCTGTTGCTTAAATCACGCGGCGTACGTCGGAAGAGGAACAGCTTCCTTCTACTTCCAGCAAAGCAAGCACGGTTGGGAATGTAGAGATATGCACATATAAGGGTCAGAAGGCGTATTGTTTGCACGGAATTTTGTTTTTCACTGTGAAGCCGGATAACGTGGGCATCATCGATGCCAAACCCAGAGTACTGACAGATGTGTCTGTGAATGTGTCCGGGAACATTGTCGTGCAATTTCGGGAATTTATGAATCTCCGTAGTCTGTTCACGCATAGCATGGATTCCTCAACGGCGTACATCTTCCGTGCATCGCAATTGTCAACTGAGGTATGTAGCTTCTCTGTCTGTCATATTCTATTTAAGTGCATTGCTTTACCCTTAAACGATTTCCTTGTAATTTACCCTATGCCACACAGTTATACACTTTAACTACTAACGTCTTTCCTTTTCAGCAATGATGGCTTTTCAAGGATACAGCGTTGTCAAACTCCTTGACTCCGAGGATTTAATAACTACTGTCAGTAACACTTGGCTTAGAGAAGAAGGTTCCTACGCTCAAATGCCATCAGTGCGGGGTACGCACTACTATGCAGCGGTGAAAAATCACACTGCGCCGGATGTCGGTGTGGTCGGCACTGCCGTGTCCATACTCGTTATTACGAGTAAGTATTTCTCTTACATTAACCCACCTCGTTAGTTAGCTTCCAGCATGCCCCAGAAATGGAACGGCAATCTGAGCGCGGGATGCTGCCATCGACAGACGATACAATTCCCATGGGCCTGCCAACTAAGCGTGCAATGTGAGTATGGTGTTTTTTATTTCCACTTAGACGCCGGCCCTTCCGTTCTAGCTCCGATGACGAGGATGCCGCGCATCCAAGCAAACCCAAAAGGCCATCTGCAGCAACCTACGCACGTGCGCCCTCCTCTCTGTTCAGTGGCATTAGTCCGTCACGTCCAGGACCATCAACAAGCAACCGTAAGTTTCGATTTCATACTGCCCCTATTAAACAGTAATCGCGCCACCGGTTATTGCTGACGTCCCACCAAGCAATCTGGATGTGCTGCACGAACTGCAGACCATAAAATGTAAGACGCCACAGATGTGTTGCATTGCACTCAGCCTTATTTTTAGATGAGTTGTGTCTAATTCGATCAGAATTGGTCGGCCGTCGTCGCATGTCCGAAGCGATGTTGCAAATGCTACAACGACAATCCCAAAGTGTTGCGCCTGGACTATCTCTGCCATTCATCTCTCTCAGTAAGCTAAAGAGATATGATGAACGGCTGAAGGACCCCGATTTCAAAATCAGAGTCGTACGTTCGTCTTATTATTCAACTACTTTAGGTCAACCATTTATGTGCTGTGCACGGTGATAACGTACAACTCATCGTCCGGGGTACCATGGAGCGGCTAATGACAAGATCAGTTGCCGCGGAGATAAATTACTCCGGCGCTAGAGGTTCGTTTGCATTCAGGCGAACAAATATGAACGGCCTTGTACAAGGTAGGTTGAAATGCAGTAATCCATAAAAACTACCAAGACCTCATTCGGCAACGCATGGGTGATGCAGCCTCGGATGCTGACATTACACGGCACATCAAAACGTGGTTGCATTCTGCACAGCACAAAAGACCGCCGGTTGAGCAAACTAAAGTATGCAGTGCGAATGAGGTGAGTCCCCTGCTTCCTTAGGCACATCTTTAGCCTCCTACGTTGACACTCGCGGAAGCGGATTAAGAATATTGACTATGCCGCTTTATGCTACTAACGTTCTTTGTACTGCACCCCTTCATGTATATATAGCATTCCTATACCTCGGTTTTAATTTTCTTTCGCCTTGTGATGTCAGGTGCGCGGTAAGAGCCGTTTCCTTTTCTGACCAACAGCTTTGAGTCGCCGCCTAGGTGGGTTCCCAAGTCCAACAACTACCGCAACAGGTACCGGGTGCACGCTAGTTCCGAGCCGTCCATATATTCGTTAGGCGCATAGTGCGTTCAAGTGTGTTGTCCGTATTCGGATACCCATGGGAGGCAATGACGGGATCTGGACCAACAGGATTGTCACGCATAGTGGTGAATTTCTATTGGTCAACGCTAGCATCATCTTCATTGGTCCAACGTAAACTGGACAGGAACCCATTTTAGCTGTCTCACGGTAATACTTCCTGTCCAGTTTAGCCTAATGCTCTCATAAGAACGCTTAGGATGCTAAACTGGACAGGACCTGGACATATGCTACCTGGGAACCGCCGTCGAAATGTATCACCTGGCTGTAACACACGTGCTCTACCCTGCAATCGTGACCAACTGTATCGTTTCTGTTATTTTCACAAACGATTTGGGGATGCTGCGCGGACCTGTAGGCCGTGGTGTTCGCACTCTAAAGCCTTTCGCTTACAGGACCAACAGGGAAACTCGCCGGCCAGCCAGTAATGGTGACAGCTGCCGCTGGCCAACACCATTGTCGCCTTCTAAACGTGTTTGACAACTCAACCTGCTACCGTTTTCTCGTCGACACGGGTGCCGAATTTAGCGTCATACCCGTAGGTACACACAAACACCAACTTTCTCCGGGGCATGTCACACTCCAGGCGGCCAATGGTACGAAAATTCAGACGTACGGTCAGAAACCATTAACCCTAGATCTGAGACTCCGACGTCGGTTACCTTGGATTTTCTTAATCGCCGACGTTCAGAAGCCCACTCTTGGCATCGATTTCTTGACGAAGTTTGGCGTCATCGTTGATCTCGGAAACAGGAAACTCCGTGATAGCGTCACTTCACTTACTGTCTCCGGCAAAGTCCTCGCTATCGACTCGATTGGCATTCGTTTGGCTCTGCCTTCCGACAATAAGTTTACTGCTCTTCTGCGCAAGTTTTCGTCCATTTATCAACCGATCAGCGACGACTTTCAGCCCAAACACGAAATCCGCCATCACATCGAAACTAAAGGCAATCCTGTCACCGCCAAACCACGACGTCTTGCTCCCGACAAACTCGCCATTGCCAAATCCGATTTTCAACACATGATGAATTTATGCATTATTCGTCCATCGAATAGCCCATGGCCATCCCCACTTCACATGGTTTCAAAGAAATCCACAGGGAAGTGGCGACCATGCGTCGACTATCGCGCTCTAAATAACGCTACTGTTCCAGAAGAATACCCAATTCCCCACGTCCATGACTTTTCCATGAGTCTATACGGGAAACGCCTCTTCTCTAATATTGATCTAGTCCGCGCGTATTACCAGATTCCGATGGCCTCAGAAGACATACCTAAGACCGCAATCATGACGCCATTCGGTCTTTACGAGTTTCTCCGTATGCCGTTTGGTCTCCGAAACGCTGCCCAGACTTTGCAGCAATTTATTGACCAAGTCCTTCGTGGTCTTGCTTTTGTCTTCGCCTATATCGACGACATTTTGGTGGCTAGCGCAACCGAGGAGAAACATCTGTCTTATTTACACCAGGTTTTCTAACGTTT